TAACTGCACTTGCGGGCCTCGGCCTCCCCCGGGGAGGGGAGGAGGGGGGAGGCGGAGAGACCCCATGGGGATTCGAATNCCCGACCGCCAAACTCAGGATCCTCTCCTACACGGTGCTAGGGACCGTATATCCGTCGTTTTTGGGTGGTTTTTTCGAGGGTTAACTGCACTTGCGGGCCTCGGCCTCCCCCGGGGAGGGGAGGAGGGGGGAGGCGGAGAGACCCCATGGGGATTCGAATTCACGACCTCTGCGACTAGCGGATTACGAGGATACCATTAGACCACCGGGGCGACCGGTCGGGGTGTGGCAGAAGAAAGTCGGGCCCGCGGTGTCCGACGCAGGACTTGGGGAGCTGCTGTCCATCGATCACGTAGATCAGCCCTCGGCTGGTGCACCCTGGAGCCATGCATCGGCTCCTCCTGTTGCCAGCCAGTGCACAGGGAGACGGGTGAGGCGGGAACATAGAAAATTCAGGCACCTGGGGGCAGGTGCATTCTGGTTCGATCGTCAACGACATAATTCGTGTGGTGCCGGTTTAGCACTCGGAGACGTCGAGCAATGATCTCGTCTGTCTGAACCACACCCGACGAAACACGCCACAGATAGTGCTAAAACCCCAAACCACCAGCAAGTCGCGTCGTCTCACCTCCTGCGAGTGTTGACCAAGTTCTTCCCCTTGTGCTCGCTGCAGAACTGGCCACGCTCGCCCCCGGTTGCCGCGAACGACGCTCCCTTTGAGCAGCCCGCGGCCCTGCACCGCTGATTGCGAATGTTGATCATGTTTTCCTGCCGGTGGTCGTTGCAGAACTTGGGGTAGCGGCCGCCGTCCATCGCAAACGAAGCTTGCTTGATGCACGCCGATTCTTCGCCCCTCGTCCTGGTTTGGGGGATGATGAGTAGTGGGTCGCGACAGCGTGGGCAACAGCAGTCGAGCCAGAAATAACGGCAGGGAATTCATTGGGAGGGGATAGGGGACAGGGGGAAATCATACCAACGGTGGTGTCAACAGCAGAACCAGAAAGTAAGACCTAGCGGTTAGTGCATAAGATAATAGCAGAGTGCCGGCTGTATTGTTAGCATAGAACACGAAGGTGTACAAGAGGGCGTTGGCGTAAGTGGTGAACACTACAGTATCCACCATTCAAAATGCACACCAATGCATCCCTGCTGAGCAATATTCAAAATCTTTCACAAAAAACGAGGCTGAACGCCGCGCTGATAACTGATGATAACCTTCGGACGACCTGCTCATGTCTCACCCAATCCTGTCCCTGACTTTCACCATGCCCACCTCCTCGTGAAGGTGGCAGATGCGGGCGCGGGTGTCCTCGGTGGGGGCATAGGCCGACACTCCTCCACACCCGACGGACTCGCAGTCACCCCTGCGGTGCGGGGAGGTACAGAGAGCAACAGCACTTTCATCGACTTCGCAAAGTTGAAAGCAAGAAACACCGGCGGAAAGGCGGAGGAGCCCCTTCCGTGTGACCCCGGCTAGTGCGCCGGACATGTACCGAAGTGTAAAGTCTTTCTCCCAAACTCGATCGGACTAAAGACAAATCCGTACAACCGTTCAAGTCGACGAAATCGAAACAACGGCATTTGAATTGTTGTTTTCTGTTACTCGTTTTCCGCTGTGTTTTTTGGTAAAGACACACTGAGCGCTTGTGATTGTTATAGCTGATCAACGACCATCTACTATTTTTCGGTAGTTTGGGCATGGGTCCTTATCGATATCGAGTATCGAGCCCTGCGCAACAAATATTCGAAGATCACTGCTTGACCTTCCAAATGGGTAGTCGTCACAACCTCTTGACACACGAAGGGGTGACCGCTCCGGCGTGTTGTAGTACCGAAATGCCAGTCTGATGAATCGGAAGGAGAACCGAAAGGGTGTGTTCAACCTTTGAACAAAACACACCTGCAATGGACCTTTTGCCACCCTACACACACGCGCGCGCACTGACAATCCCATCTATCCTGATCTGCGTCTCCTCGCTCCCTTTCATCGCCCACAAATAAAGATCGACTGCCCACCACGCCCCCGACAACGGGTTGAAATTTATTGTCTTCTTCTCGCGCACCCCTGCTATCGCCAACCCCGACGCACCCCCGCGCACGATTGCGGGTACCTGTTTGGGTGAACGACGTTCTGCTGCCCGCTTGTCTTGTACTTCTCGCAGGAGACGGGTTCCGAGTTGCTGCTCCCGGCGTACGACGCGGGTCTAAGGCACGTGGGGTGCTGGCAGTGACCTGATCGACGCCATCGTGAAGCGAGCCTCAAATCAGCAACAGGGCAACGACAAAAGCGGGTCGGAGGCACCTCCGTGTTCGAGGACGGCAAACTCATAGACCTCTGGAAGTCGGTATGTTGCCCGTACATTGCCGTGTTTTTCCGAGCTCAACAGGATTTCGTTTCAAAAGTGTTGGGTGTTGCTCCCTCTCATCTGCGATGAGTTTGTGTCTCGCTCTGTTGGCAGCGTCTCTTCCTAGCACCTTCCAGTATGCCATCTTTATTCCTCGCGGCGTTTGTTGTGGGGAAGTTCGTCTGGTTCGCAAGCAACTCTTCCTCTCCTGTCACTCCCAAAGTGAAATATTCTCAATGCCTCTCACTACATGCACCAACCTATTGGCTATAGGTGGGATTCTGCCAATGGGTGGGCGTCACGAATTTGTACAAACAGAAACCGAGTATGAGGTTTGAGATACGCTGATTCGTCGTCGACACTTAAGCTGGCCGATTGCTTCGTAGGCGAGATGGTCGGCGGTGGCTCCGATGAACAAAGTGGTGCCGTTGCCACCACCCGGACACGTTGAACAAGCAGTGTTAAAGATCTAGACGGATTGAAAATTCCAGCATAGTGATTTGCCTTGCTCGCAGCTCCATCATGGAGGACGTCGGACCCTGGCTTTTGAATCGATTTGTCGATGCTTGCACTTGAAGAATGGGTTGGCAATGTGAACGTGTTTGTTTTTTCTGTGCGTTCGCTAACCGGCTGATGAGCAAAATATAAAGTTAGTGCCCGGCGGGTATCACGAAGTTGTTTGTACCCCGCTCCGATTATTTTTCAGCGCCGCATGGCCACGCTCTCCCTCGTGTCTTCCTGTGGTATCAATGTATCAGCCAGGGTCACACAGGAGGGGGCCCGCTTTGGCGCNCCCCCCCCCCCCCTGTTTTCGCCACAATTTACGTTGCTTTTTTTCTGTTGTGTTTTTTCAGGGAGCCTCAGTCTATTTGTTACGATCTCTTTTTTAGGCTGTCTTTTTTTCAAAAGAGGTTCGTCATTTTTTCGTTGTCAAATCTTGGCAAAAAAAGACGTTGTAACACGGGGCTATTTGGCCACTTGTCATTTTTTGAAAAAAAGACAGCCTAAAAAAAGACATCGTAACAAATGGCCTCAAACTTCGTTTTTTTGTGTGTGTTTTTTTTTCCTCTCACCAAAATATGCCCGTCGTACAAGCGTGGGCGCTCCAAACCTCCTTGTTTGTTCTAGTTGACTCTCGATGGGCACCACGTCAAATGTCGTACAAGCGTGGGCGCTCCAAATCTCCTTGTTTGTTCCTGTTGACTCTCGATGGGCACCACGTCAAATGTGAGCGCCTGATTTTAGTGCCATGGCTCGTGCGTGATGCCCGTTTGTATGGTTGTAAGGTTCTGAACCGGTAGTTCGCCCGGTTTTCCAAGTTTGAAGAGGTATGCCTGCATAGCCTTTGTAACCAATGGTCTCAAGGCAAGTACGTTGTGTCAGAAACGTGCTTTTGTGGAGATCCGATACCCTGCTTCGCGTTCACGTGCTCGCTGGACAGGTCGAGTTGAGGACTCTCAGCCCTCCTGCACTTTATCGAAAAGAAGAACAAGGTTCCGGTCCGCGACGACCACGCGGTATCAGAAGTGTTCGGAGTGCGAAACACCGTCCTCCAGAACAAGGCAAGACACGCCTGTTGTAACGCTAGAGCTCAGTAGACGGAAGCTCGTTGCTGCTGTTGAATGTGATTTCCGGTGCACGGCAAATCTTACAACATGTTTGATCGAATGTCGTGCTTTTGCGTTTCTCGTCGCCCGTTAACGGGTTTCCGAGCGAAACCACTTTTCGCACTCGACGAGAGCAGGTTGTTTTTGATGGCTGGAGGGGTCACGCTCGTGAGTGTAATTTCGAGCGACGCACACATTTGCAATGGCGGGTACGTGGGCCTTCGGCTTCGCCCCTCATGCCCCTGGGATGCGATGAATGTAGATGGGAAGGTGGAAACTACGTCCGGTAAATGCATTCAACAGCTGCATACGGTGGTAGTGCTTTTTGCAATTTTGCAAAAGGAGCACGGAGCGATGTTTGTTTGCAAGTGCTCATCACCACTCTCATTGTTTTCACCACAACGTGCAACCGTGCAACGATTCGTTCGCATAGAAGTTGGTCGATTCTCGGTCTCTCTCTGTCTCTGTCTCTGTCTGTCTCTGTCTCCCTCTCTCTCTCTCTCTCTCTC